TCACACCCTGCCTCTCCTGGTGGCAGCTCACAGCATCTCCCTTCCTCTTCTTTCCTCTCTCACTGTCTCTCCATCCTGCCCTGACATAAGCCAATGCAGCTTTATTTATTAGCCATTGGGAACAACACATATTCACAGCATACAGAAAGACATGCCACAGCAGCCATGTCCTGACTGGAAGATGGCATTTCACAGCTCTCCTCTCCACCCTCCAGCTCTTACCTCATCTGAGATGTGCCCTGAGACTTGGGGGTGGCAGGCTTAATGCAGATGTCCTGTTTAGGATAAGCACTCATTCTCAGCCTCAGCACTTTGGCCATCTCTCCATTGACTGCAAAAAGTAGGTTCTCTATCCAAGGCTGAGGGCAATCCAGACAGTCAGCACCTGGGGCTGGGCAGACTACCACACAGCAAATCATGATGGGTGGAGGGCCAGCTGCAGGGACTGAGTATCGATGACCATGAGGACATGGGCATCACTGTAGACCTGGCCACGACTGGGAACAGAACAAGAATGAAGGAGACAGGGAAACCCCTGTCTCGTGGAGCTTGTGTCTTGATTAGAAGAGGCAAACAAGAAAACATACATCTGCTGAGCACCAAAACGCAATGACCAAAATGGATTTTAGTGTCTGGGGCTGGGGCTCAGTTGATAGAGCTTATAGCTTGGTTGGTAGAGTGCTCACCTAGCATGCAGAAAGTTCTGGGTTCAATTCCCAGCCCTTCATAAACAGGGCTTGGTGAAGCACACTTGTCATCCCAGCCCTGGGGAGGTAGACAGAGATCAGGACTTCAAGGTCATCCTGGGCTGTAAACCTGGGATGTATGAGAGCCTGTCTCCAAGAGCTAGAAGGACAATATGCCAGGAGCTGAGAACAACAAATGCAAAGGCCTGGAGCAAGGTGAGAATGAGTCCATCAGAAGCAGGGATGAAGCAGGTGTGAGGAGACAGTCCACTCAGTCATGAGATGCTAGAACCCAGCACCCATAGGAAACAAGCTGGGTGTGGTGGCACCCACCTGTTCTGCCCAGATTAGGACCCCCAAAGAAACCACTGTAGACCAAAGATGTCCAGAATGCAATAGCAAGGTTTACTTCTCGGCGCAATACAAGCTAGCAGGGAGCCCTTGTCCGCAGCACCCAGGTAATCGAGGCACGGAGAAGAGTTCCTCTTTCTTGGGGAGGTTAGCTTTTGAAGGCAAAAAACACAAAATTCTTCAGAGAGGAGGGGGTTAGTAGGGGTCTATCCTTGATTGGTCCAGTTTTCCCAAGCCTGGACTTTATCTTATTTTAGTTTGTCTGTTTGCTATGTCAGGAGTTTTACGGCCCATCTTTGAAGTCTGGTCATGTTATCTCGGGGGAGGGGGTGTCTCATGGTTAGTCACCACCAGACGGCCTGCCTTGTACTTTTAAAACCCAACTTCACCCTGTCTGGGAATGGGGAACTGACTCAGTTCTGGTTATTTTAAGATATCCCTTCCCTCAGCTCTCCGGGTCTTAGGGGGAACTGGGGTGGGGATCTCTCAATCCCAGCACTGGCCAGAAGACAAACAGATCTCTGGGGTCACTTAATATAGAACTTTGGGCCACAGCTTGTGTCTCAGGAAGCCAGGCTCAGTCACCTGTCCTCCATAAGCCAATTAGAAAAGTCAAATTAAGAGTGAAAAAGCTACATAGAGAAACCCTGTCTCGAAAAACCAAAAAATAAAAATAAAAAATAAAAATAAAAAGAGTGAAAAACGGAAAAAGGAGATTTGGTCAATGTGGCCACTTCGGGAAGAGCAAAGAGACCCAGCAACTCCCCCAAACCCACCTTTAGGGTCGTGGAGTAAGTTAAACTGTGAGGCATTTCTGTGCGCATCTGAGCTGTCCTGGGCAAGATGAGGTTCCACCTACCAGTGCCCTAGATTACCTTTGGAAGGTTGGACATCTCTCCAGGAGGAGAAAAGCGCGGCCCCTCTGGCTGGCCCAGGCTGGCCTTCTACCAGCTTGAGACTCCTGGGGAAAATGCAGTTTCTTGGGGACCATTTTTAATAGTCGTAACCAAAGAGTCTCTTCAGAATATATTCATTTCTGCCTTGCTGATCACAGGCTGGCTGGGAAGCCTGTCATATTGGTAAGGTCCAGGTTCAGGGAGAAAATATATCTTAAAAAACAGGGAGCTGGAGAAGCGGCTCAATGGCTTCAAGCACTACTCTCCCAGAAGACCGGAATCTGTTTCCCAGCATCCACTGCTGCTCATAACCATCCCTAACTCCAGCTCAAGGGAATCTGACGCCCTCTTCTGGCCTCTGTAGGCACTGCACACATGTGGGCATAGACTCACGAGCGCGCGTGCGCACACTCGGGAACTTATACATACAGAGGAGGAGGGAAAAGGAGCATAGGGGAAAAAGGAGGAGGAGGAGGAGGAGGACGAGGAGGAGGGGGAGGAGGAGGAGGAGGAGGAGGAGGAGGAGGAGACCCCTGCCACCAGCAGCAGAACCAAGGCAGCCAAGTGGAAAGAGCCAAGGGGACAGGCTAAAGAGGAGGTGACGCCGGCCAGGCCTCAGCAATGCCAAGCCCCTCGAAAGTGAGACACAGACAGGGAACCAGGCCAGCATCTCCGCTGAGGGGTCTCTCAAGAGCTCTTCCAGATACACCCACTACTCTAAGGAAAAAACTGCTGCTGGGACCCAGTGAGATGGCTCTTAAGGGTAGGCGGCAAGCCCAGCAGCCGATGGCCAACAGAAAACAAACTCAACGGCATCTTTAGAGGTTCCTGGTCTTATAATGTCATACAGGATTTTTTTTTACTTGTATTTTACTTTGTTTTTAATTATTTCTGTTTGTTACCCTACAGGTTTTGCATGTGTGTGATGGCTTCTGGCTTTGTATTTTTATGGGATTCCTGAGTCTATATATCTGCTCTTGTGCCTTCTCTTGGGCTCTTTTCCTTCTGATTGTTTTGTCCTATTCTGATGTGTTCATTTCTGTTTCTCATATTATATTACATTTTATTTTATTATTATCCCTTGGAAGACATTTGTTTTCTAAGGAGAGACAGAAGGAGAGTGGATCTTGATGGAAGAGGAGGTGGGGAGGAACTGGGAGGAGTAGAGGGAGGGGAAACTGTAATCAGAATATATTGTGTGAACAGAAATCTATTTCATAAAAGAAAATATCTATAATACATTGTTATGAGATGTAAGCAAACTATAATTTTGGGGATGGCTCTCATAAATATTATTATTATTAATATACTATCTTCTTATTTTGTGAAATTTTAGCAACAGGCTTTTTGTTATTCTAATTTCTATATGACATATACTAAATTATAATACCTTGGGCTGGAGAGATGGCTCATCGGTTAAGAGCACTGGCTGTTCTTCCATAGGTTCTGAGTTCAATTCCCAGCAACCACATGGTGACTCACAACCATCTGTAATGAGATCTGATGCCCTCTTCTGGTCTGTAGGCATACATGCAGACAGAACACCGTATACATAATAAATAAATAAATATTTTTAAAAAATTATAATATTTATTATGTATTTATAATACATAAATATATGAAAATGAATATATAGAATTTTTATATACAAAATGCCAAAAAATTGAATGGCCATCCCCAAATGAAATAAAATGAATAATGAGCATATGAAAAAAAATAATAATAGCAATAAATTGATTTACAGCCTGTGTCCTTTATGCAGAGCCACCAAGGTAGGGGGAGCTGATTCAGCAAACGCAAACACTAGATCACCTGCTTTTGAGTTTAAAGCAATGAAATAAAGGTGCCGAGAGACAGGCTTCGGATGCCCCCCTGGGGCTTCCCAAGACAGGAGATAACGGCAGCCCTGTTTGTTGAGCACTTGTTATGGACCAGGCACAACGCCAAGTCCCTTATGCTCCCACCTCCGGTGGTGGTGTGTCCTCCGGTTGCTTGAAGAACAGAGAGAGTGGCTAACCTGCCCCCGTCACACAGCTGAGCTTTCACCAGCACCCAGCATCCTCCAGGTCACTGGCTCTTCAGAGGTGATGTTTTTCTTTCCAGTGGTCTAGTTTTAAATTTCAGGAGTCAAACGGAATGGCCCTGAACCCCTCCATTCTACCCCAAGATGCTCCCAGGTGTTCTGAAGACAGAGAATCCTGGAGCTCAGAGGGGGAGGAGAGGGCACACCTCCTGACATTTGTGATGGTCCTGGGCACACAGTGAGGGCTAAGCCTGTCTCTCTTGGCCAGCACATAGCATTAGGGGATCCATGGAGGAAACAGGGAGGTCTCTGAAAGCAGAAGGAATAGCAGGAGCTGGAAGAGAGCCAGGAGTCCTGCTGGGCTGCCGGCTCTCCTTTGCACTCTGGACCAGTCCCTTGTGAACTTTCCTCTCTAACGCAGAGGCTTGGCCACGCCCTTTCTTTGGTTACACGTCCAGTTGCTATAATGAAACACCCTCAAAGGGTAAGGGAGTGGGGTGCTTTGGATGAGAATGGCCCCTAGGCTCGTGTGCTTGGTCCCTTGTTGGTGGACATGTTTGGGAAGGGTTAGTGTGGCTGTGATGGCTATTTGGGGTTTTCAACTTGACTACATCTGGAATCGACTAAACCCAAGCTGTTTGGTACACATCTAAGGGATTTTACTTGATTGGATCATTTGAGGTGGGAAGGGCCACCTTTAATCTGGGCCTCACCTTCTGGTGGCAGCCCATATAAAGGACATGGAGGAAGGAAGCTCTTGCTCGTCACCCGCTTGCTCTCCCTCTTGCTGGTAAATTCATTCCTTCACTGGCATCACACCAGTGGTTCTCAGCCTTCCTAAGGCTGCAGCCCCTCATTACAGTTCCTCATGGTGTGGTGACCACCAGCCCTAAAATGACTTTCATTGCTACTTCGTAGCTATCATTTTGCTACTGTTATGAATCTATGAATCATAATGTAAATATCCGTGTTTTCCCATGGCCTTAGGCAACCCCTTGACCCCCAGAGGGGTCACCACCCATAGGTTGAGAACTGCTGTGTTAGAGCCTACTTCTTCAAGATTCCAGCATATACGAAAAACCAGCTGAGACATCCCGCCTCATAAACCAAGCGACTATTGGACCCCTGGACTTCCCATTGGTAGACAGTCATTGTTGGAACAGTCAGGCCACAGCCTGTGAGCCACTCTGATAAATCTCATTTTATATGTATTCGGTCTGTAAGTTATGTTTCTCTGAAGAATCCTGACTAATTCAGTGGCCTTGTTGGAGGAGGTGTGTCACCGAGTGGGGCGGGAGACACTCGGACGGACTTAAGAGGTTCGCTCTCTCTACCTCGTGCTTGTGGATGAGATATAAGCTCTCCAGCACCGTGCCTGCCTGCTGCCACCATGCGAGTCATGGATTCACCCTCTGGAACTGTAAGCTCTCAAAAAAGTCTGTGGGTGTTTTGCCTACGCTGCACGCTTGCTTGGTGCCTGTGGAGGCAGATGAGGACTTGGGACCCCCTGGAACTGCAGTCACAGACGGTTGTGAGCCTCCATGTGGATGCTGGGAGCCGAACCCGAGTCCTTGACCTTAACCTGTCAGTCTAGCTTTTTCCTTTTTATTCAACACAGAACCCAAACTCGGTAATGGCGCCACCTACAGTTACGACGGATCGTTCCACCTCAGTTGACTTAATCCAGGGAACCCCTCACAGGTGTGCCCAGAGCCTTGCCTCCTGGGTAACAATCAATATTAATCTTCCTGTCCCTTAAATCCGACCTGTCCCTCTCTACTTCTCAAACACCTTCCATGGCTGCCTGTGGCTCACCGGAGGCGCGCCACCTGGACTCTAGAGGCTCTCTGCTGATGTTTGGTGAAGCTCAGACACGGGCGACCAAGACTTTTATTGTTGGGAATGTGCGGGGGGGGGGGGGGTAGAGAGTTGGGGTTCCAGGCCAGGTGTGGGGTCACTGCGTGCTCAGCGGCTCCACCCGCAGCCACAGGCCGCCCTCTGCACGCAGGATCAGCTCCGGCTGCCGGCGCGGCTCCTCGCTGTCTGGCAGGACGCGGAAGCGCAGCAGCGTCAGCGCCAGCGCCACCTTCATCTCGCTCATGGCAAAAGTCTGCCCGATGCAGTTCCTGCGGGAGGTCAGGGTGGGGACTCTGACTGTGTCCTAGACCCCACCCGGGACCGACACAGCACTAGAACCTGGCCACGGGCTAAGATATGTGGGACCACGCCTGGGCGTCAGTATCCTCGGAGCCTGGTCCAGACCAGCAGCCAAACGCTAGGGAGGGACTCTGAGCACAGAGAGGGGATCTTCCCCTTCCCCTCCCTGCTTCCCCAAACCTTTGCTCAATTCCTGTGCAGAGAGGCAGGTGGGAGATGCTAACGCCTCCCCCACCCAACTCCCCCTGCCCCCACTGCCAGCCCCAGACCCCGCCCCCTCACTCCCGACCTCACCTGGGCCCTGCGGAGAAGGGAATAAAAGCCAGGGATGGCCTGCCCTCGGCGTTGTCTGCGTCAAATCGGAAGGGGTTGTAGACCTGCAGGAACGCAGAGCCACGGTGGGTGACTACCATCTGCCAGCACAGCCAGGAACGGAGAGTCCTCCGTGTGCGGTGGAAGGTAAGAATTGATTTCTCTGCCTCCTGGGCTGGTGGACTGCTCGCCTAGAGTTAGGGGTGCGGCCAGGAGCAGCTGGAAGCCCTGGATCCCATTCCCAGCACCAGCATAAATCCGAATGGGTGCAAATCTGTCATCTCAGCACCCCAGAGGTGGAGGTGGAGGATCAATGGTTCAGGGTCAATTTTGGCTGTATAGGGATTTCCAGGCTAGCCTGGGATACCTGAGACCCCGCTTTATAAAACCTATGATTGGGGCTGGGGAGGTAGCTGAGTTGGTTGGGGAGGTAGCACTTGTCCTACCAGGCACATCCCTGGATCCCATCCCCAGCACCACATAAGCCAGGCATGGTGCTGCCCGCCTGTCATCCCAACACTCAGGAGGTGGAAGCAGGTGGATCGTAAGCTTACAGTTATGCTTGGCTACAGCGTGAGGTCAAGGCCAGATTGAGCTGCGCGCGCCTTCACCTCTAGAACCCCAGCCCACAACACGGGAGAATTAAGGGACAGCACCTCCGGGTCAGGCCACACAGCGGGATTGTGATGTGTCCCGAAAATACTTATTCTGCAGATGACACCTGCGGGGGAAGTGAAGCGGTGGAGACAAAGTGTTGCACGCTGGGCCCGCTGTCTGCCCAGGACCCTTCTCCTCCTCCCTGTGGGCACCTTTGGGGATGACCCGGCCGTCTGGGAGCACAGTGTCCTGAGAGCAGCAACGGGAGATAGCCATGACCGGGGGGTGCAGCCGCAGACTCTCCTTGATGCACATGGTGAGGAAGGGCAGCTGCGCCAGGTCGTCCCTGGGAAAACCCCAACCGACAGTTACCCAGGTCAAAAATGAGAGCACCGCAGCGCCCCTGTGGCCCAGCGGAACCTTTCTCCCTCTGGCAAAATAATCTTGAGGTGGATGAAGTGCTTGAGCGCTGTACAAGCACTAGAAGGCTCAGTGAGGAAAAGCACTTGCCGACAAGTCTGAAGACCTGAGTTCGGTCCCCAAGAGCGACATAAATTAGCTAATGTAATTTTTGAAAATGAAAACAGAAACAAAATTTCAACAGTGGAAAGGCTGAGACAGGAGGGTTATGAGTTCCAGACCAGCCTATGGCACACAGTGACACTCTGTCTCAAAATACTTTATCAATTAACAGTTGGTTAGCTTACTGATTAGTTAGTTTAATTGTGTTTATTAGCAATTAACTTTTGATTATTCAAAAGGTTTTTAAATCAGAGAATTAGGAAAGTGCCAAAGAAAGTTTAGCCTGGTAGCTTTAGGATCTTCTTCTGAGAGAACTCAATGTCTAAATGCCAATGGTTTAAAAAGTCAACAAATGGGCTGAGAGATGGCTCAGTGGTTACCAGGACCTGAGTTCAGTTTTCAGCACTGACATCAGGCAGCTCACAACTGCCCCATAACTCCAACTCCAGAGACTTGACACACTCTTCCTACCTCTGCAGGCACTGTATTCACATACACCTTCCCACCTACACACATACACCACACACATACCATATAATCTTAAAAATAAAAATAATTTTTAAATGAACAAGTTTGAATAAAAATTATTGTCTCTGGAAAAAAGAGAAAAACCAAAGTACAAAATAGTAAAAAGTTAAAAAAAAAATTGTCTAAAATGCTTTTGCTTTCCTTCATCACTGTACTAGAGATACTAGCAAATGTAATTAACCAAGAAAAAAAAAAAAGGAAGGAAAGAATGTAACTTGCTGTAGAAGGGTAAATGTGTCATTTTAGCAGAGAGAGGTGCTGGGGGGGGGGTTGTTTGGGTTTTGGTTTGTTTGAGGTTTAGTTTTGGTTTTGTGGACTTAGGATCCATCTTAGCATGTGCTAGGCAAGTGTTCTCCCACCAAGCCCCACCCACAGCCCCAGACAGGGATTTTATGCTTAGAAAACACAGCAGAATCCACTGGGGAACTTGAACAACTTGTGCAGAGCCAACAATGTGGCTGAAACCTTTGATCTGTGTTCTTTTGGTGTGAGCAGCTAACTGCTCAAAATCTGAACTCTGTGGCACATCACTCAGCCCCCTGGCCCAGCGCCATACATATTCTCTTCCTACAGGCTGCCTGGTTGCTAGCTTTTTGTTTGCTTGTTTGTTTATGTATCCCCCCAAGGATGCCTTTTTTGTTTGTTTATATTTTTAAGGTTTTTTTTTTTTTTTTTTTTTTTTTTTAAGATTTATTTATTTATCATGTATACAGTGTTCTGTCTGCATGTGTCCTTGCAGGCCAGAAGAGGGCACCAGATCTCATTACAGATGGTTGTGAGCCACCATGTGGTTGCTGGGAGTTGAACTCAGGACCCCTGGAAGAGCAGTCAGTGCTCTTAACCTCTGAGCCATCTCTCCAGGCCTATTTTTAAGGGTTTTAAAGTGTGTGTGTGTGTGTGTGTGTGTGTGTGTGTGTGTGTGTGTGTGTGTGTGTGTTGTGTGTGTACATTTGCATTACAGGTGCCCAAGGAGTCTGGCAACATTGGATCCTCTGGAGCTAGGGTTACTTGCAATTATGAGCAGTCCAGCATGGGTCCTGGGAATGGACCTGGGGTCCTTTGCATTTCTCCAGCCCTGTTGTGTGTTTTGAGGTAGACAAGGTCTTGTTATGCTACCCAAATTTATCTCCAACTCCTGACTCAAGGGATCCTCTTGCCTCAGCTTCCCAAGTAGGTGGGACTAAATGTGTGCCCCCGACACCCAGCGCACCTGATGTTTCAAAGGAACTTCAATAACTAAGCTAAAGTTTTTCTGGATGACTAAAGGATTGTACAGTTAGGTCAATCTGACAGGGGAGGACCTTGGAAGATACCTACAAGGACCTTTGCAATACAGAGCTGATGTGCCTATCTTCTGCTCAAACCCTCTCCTGGCCCCATAGATGCCCTTGGGTTAAAATCAAAGTCACTAACATTACCTGCCCAGTCTATGCTGGTGGCATCTTAGCCCCAACACACACACACACACACACACACACACACACACACACACACACACACACCTTCTTCCTGTCCCACTTTCTCATTTCCCTTCCTCCCCCTTCACCTCCATCTTTCAAAGCCTCTCTCCCCGATCTAAATGCAGACCTCCTTGTCCCTCCTTCCCTCTCCCATCTTTATTTTCTCGTGAGAAGAGCCAAGGAGAGGGACTCAGAAGCACACCAGCACCTGCACTCACCATTCCATCTCCTCAGGCTCACGGCCCCTCAGGAGATCCCGCACCTCCTGCCGGCAGCGATCCTGGTATTCCGGGTGCCTTGCCAGGTTGTACAGGATCCAGGAGAGCCCACTGGCCGTGGTGTCGTGGCCTGAGGGGCAGACAGGCAGCCTGGGTCTCTCGGCTGCTTCAGCATCACCAAGTGGACACCATGCAGGTGGCTCAGTCCCCAGGAAGTGTAATTGCCAAGGAAGGACAGAGAAGGGGAAGGGATAGAGGGATCCAGGTTCCGCCTACCAGGTCACCAGGATGCTTAGACAGACACCTCCCCTCTCTGCAGCAGTTCACGGAACACTCACCTCCAAACATGAAGGTGTCGGCCTCTGCTCGGATGTCCTCATCAGACAGTGCCTTTCCGTGTTCGTCCTGAAGACAAGGCAAGACACCAATGGCACCAGTTCTGAGTATTCCTGTGTCCAACTGAGACAGTCTCTGAAGAGCCCTGGTCCATGTGGACACCCTCCCAACCACACCCCTGCACCTGTGTTAATCACCATTCTCAGAGTCCTCACGCCAGTGGTGTCATTCCTGGCGGCTGGCCTCTGTCCTAACCCTGGAGGAACCCGCAACCCGTCGGTTTTTTTTTTTTTTTTTTTTTTTTTTTTTTTGGTTTTTCGAGACAGGGTTTCTCTGTGTAGCTTTGCGCCTTTCCTGGAACTCACTTTGTAGCCCAGGCTGGCCTCAAACTCACAGAGATCCGCCTGCCTCTGCCTCCCAAGTGCTGGGATTAAAGGGGTGCGCCACCACCGCCCGGCTCCCATCAGTGTTTTTTATCCCTGTACTACAAGTATCTGGAGAAGTGAGTGGCAACCTAGAATAGGAGGTGAATGTGGACTGCCTTTGAAGTCAGCAGAACTTTAATCCAAAGAGTGTGCTTCTGTGTGTATCTAGGAACAGGCCAGTGAGAGGGCTCCATGGATAAAGGCCCTTGCCACAGCCTGATGACAATGAGTTTAATCCCAGGATCTACCCAGAAGGAGAAAATGAATTCCCTGGAGTTGTCCTCTGGCCCTATGTGTACTGTGGCACAGGTACCCATGCCCATACACACACACAATAAACAAACAGTGTGATTTTAGAATGCGTTAAAACAGACACCCAAGAATCTTATCTCCCGGGAGATATTTGGCTGGCCTGCCTGTAGATGTCACTAAAGAGACCTAGTTCACACTTCAGAGTTCCCGCTCTCCCTCCCTTCTTCTCACTCCCATCTCCATCCCTCACTCCCTCCCTCTTCGCAGGGAAGAAGATACAATGTGACAGGCCGCGCTGTCCTACATAAGCCTCAAGCCTTATAGCATTCAAACCTTGCTGCTTGAAAATGAGAGCTGGGATCCAGGGCTGGGAAAATGGCTCAGTCGGTAAAGTCACTCAAGCAGGAGGACCTGAGTTCAGATCCCCGGCACCCACGCAAAAGCCAGACATGGTGGCACCTGCCTCTGACCCTAGCACTGGACAGGTCAGATAAGTGGGTTCCCGGAGCTCTAGCCAGTACAGCCGATCTGTGAGCGACACATAGATTCATGTGATAAAAATATGTTTGAGAAATTTATTATATGTTCCTATTTTCAATCATTTTATCATGAAATGTCTGTCTTTCATGTCTAAATAAACTTAGAGGGAAAAAGCTTTAAAGGAAAGAGTGAACAACTGTGAACACAGACACCCTACACACACACACACACACACACACACACACACACACACACTACATATACGAATCTAGACAGGCAGAATGTGATGCTCCAACTTAATGTGCAGCCTGAAAAAAAATGTGAATTGAATCTAGATTTTAAAAATGTCTCAAAAGACTGGTGAGATGTCTCAGCGGGTACAGGCACTTGCCACCAGGCCTGAAGACAGGAGTTTGATGCCAGGGATGCCGCACAGTGGAAGGAGATAACCAATTCCTACAAGTTATTCTGTGACCTGTGAGCACACCCCCCCATCAATCAATCAATAAAAAAATGTAATCAAAAAGCAAGGTGAAGCTGGAGAGATGGCTCAGTGGTTAAGAGCACTGGCTGCTCTTACGGAGAACCTGGGTTTAATTCCCAGCACCCACATAGTGTCTCACAACTGTAACTCCAGTTCCGGGAGATCTAAAGCCATCTTCTCACTTCCTTGGGCACCAGGCACATATGCAGTGCACATACATATGTGCAGACAACACATTCACACACAAAAAATATAAATAAACCTAAAACCATTTTTAAAATGAAGCAAGGCCGAGCAGTGGTGGTGCATGCCTTTAATCCCAGCACTCAGGAGGCAGAGGCAGGCAGATCTCTGAGTTCGAGGCCAGCCTGGGCTACCAAGTGGGTTCCAGGAAAGGCGCAAAGCTACACAGAGAAACCCTGTCTCGGAAAAAAAAAAAAAAGGAAAAAAATAATAAAATGAAGCAAGATGAAGAGTGATTAAGGAAGACACTCAGTGCCAGCTCTGTCCTCTGCATGATCATGCACACATGAGCACAGACCCTCCTACACCACAAGGGAACACAAGTGTTTTTTGTTTTGTTTTGTTTTTTTGATGTTCCATACACAGGTAAAGTATTGCATTGGCCACTAAGAGGACCTGGGAGCTGGGAGCTTTGCCATTGTCCTAGCGCTTTATTGTGGAATGGACTGTTCTGCCCCTGGGCACCAGGCTGCTGAGCATAGCCATAGGAAGATGTGCCTGCTGCTCAAAGACACTAACTTCTAAAACTCAAAGGTCCCCAGCCAGGCCCATGTAAGTCCAGGGGCCTGGGGTGATGAGTAGGATCTGGGCCTGATAAATGGGGATGGGGAGAGTTGGCATGGCCCGTATTCAGGGTCTCCTTCCCACCCTCTGTACAGGTTATGTGCAAACATTCAGACCCATAGTTGGAAAGTCAAGAACAGCCTCCCAGTGCTCAGAGCCCCTCCCTGGTCTGAGCTGGCTCAAAGGATGCAGATACCCATGCAGGGTTCTAGACACCTTAGCTGGCCTGGTGGTGAAGGGCTCATGGCCAGGTTCCAGTGATGAGTGGAGCCTGCATGGGGTCCAGGACACAGGAAGGGCAGAGCATTCTCACTCTGTGACGTCACTTTGTCATGCCAGGCCCGGCCCTCCACTCCCCTTAAGGAACACACCTTACTCAGCAGCAGCACGTCAATGAAGTCCAAAGTCTTGGCCTTGGCCTTGGCCTTGAGGACATCATCATCGACCTGATCGGGGAGGGTGCTGCGCCGCTCCTGGATGACGGCATCAGTGAAGTCATGCACTAGGCGGCAGGCCTTCCGGAAGCGCATCCCGTCCCGGGTGAGGTGATAGAACAGGTCCACGTGCAGATGCAGCTTCTGGTGCCTTCTGGCCACCAGAGCACTAAGTTCCAAGATGGCAGCGATGTACTCACTAGGCTTCCTGAAGGGTGTAGGCATAGAGGAGGTGATACTTTAGCATACATGAACCCCGAGAAGCATCTCAGCAGCCAGCAGCTGCTGCCCATGAGGATGGAGAAGCTAGAAGCACTTGTTTATTCTTGATGCCATCCTGGACTTTGTTCAGTAGCCATGGCAACTAGAGGAGAACAAAACAGTGGTGCCCAGGTCTATGGTGATAAGAACAGACCACCTTCAACTCCAACTATGTCTCTCTGTCTGTCCCCTACCACCTGCCACAAGTGATGTAGAAAGTGGGACTCCTCTTGTATAATATTAGAGGGACCAGCCTTAATATCACACATCCCAGGGGCTCAGGAGAGAAACTACTAACGGCGAGGACTATTTTCGGGAAATAGAATCTCAGCACACTGAGCTCTTCAGTTCATTCACTTTAATTCCTCTGGCATAACATCCTTTATACACAGCTTCAGTTCTGTTCTCGTGCCTAGCTCCTTTCTTGCCTGATTTCTCTCTATATTTATCTATTGCTCCCTCTAAGTTCTATCTTAATTCTCTCATCTTAATTCTGCCTCATCTAGGTCCTTTTCATCTTGTTCTTACCCAGCTAGTACTTCCCCATCTGACTCTTCCTCATCTTCCATCTCATCCACACGTTCTCTCTGGTCAAAATCCTCCTTATCCCTCTCCGTTCTCCATCTCTAAGTTCTCCACATTCCTCCTAAGTCTCCCAGGCATCCAGTTATAAACCCAAGCAGTAGCAATCCCCTGGTGGAGCAAGGTCACCAGGCTTGAATGCTATAGGGTCATAAAGGCAGGTAAGAATTTTCCTCAGGCAGTGACCACCAGGCTTTCTTTTACAACCTGAAAGGAGTGGTAAGGAGGAGGTCAACCGAGTGCTAATGATCTTTAGTCTATCAAGAAGGGGATCTGTGTGCTCAGTCCACATTCCTAGAAGTGGTTAGGTAAGACGTTAGGGGTCTATTAGTAAGATTATATAAGAAAGGAGGGTTTCACCCTAAATTGCAAAAGAAATAAAGCTATCCATCTGACCTAGGAGACAGGTGTAGTTTTGTTCAGCCTTGGATGTTTGATGGGCATTTTAGATAAATACACTGTTAGGAGTTCATGGAAGCACACAAGAAAATCATTTTAGGAACCATCATATATATACATACATACATATATTTACATATATATAAGCTAAATATATATAAGCTTATATATGCATATATATATATATATATATATATATATATATATATATATATAAGCTAAAATATCACCAAGACTTCTTGAGCCATGGCTTGACCTTTGGAGAAGTCCTTGACTTTTCCAAGTAGTAGCTTTTGTGATAGTAGCTGAATTCCATTACGTTTTCCTGAGGCTTGCAGCAGACTCCATGTACATCCATGAGGTCTCCATCCTCATGAGGTGAGTCTCTGTGATAGTGCAGCTGTTTTGGGGTTCCCTGTGCCCCTGAAAGTAACCCCTCCACTGTGCTTTGTAAGTAAGCCCAGTAAACCAGTGTACAGAAAGTTCCTAGAAGGAATCCCAGTTGGCCTTGACCCTTCGGCAAGGCTGCTTCACTGATTAGAATTTCAGTAACTGTGGAGAGTTGGAATGGTTCAGGTGCAGAGTCTAATCACAACTTGTCTTGGACTGTCTTTAGCCCCCATAATAGTCACCATTCCTTGCCCGTCTCTGACCTAACATCCTTGTGACTAAAAAGCAAAACCTTTTTGGATGTAGTAGCTTAAAACCATAGTTTCCATCAACCAAAAAAAAAAAAAAAAAGCTAAGTGTATCATCAGGTGATGCCTGAGCCCCACAGGGACATTACCTCGCTCGCATTAGCCCACCTACCTGATGGGTCTGTCACAGTCTCCCTACCTGGGGTGAGAAGATGTTTGTTTACATCTCCTCAGAAAACGGTGTCACACAACATGCCTGCGGAGTCCCAGGAACTACAGCCCTAGGTGGGGACTGACAAGCCCCTCCGCCACCCTCCGCCACCCCTCTCTTTACTGTGAAAAGTCCCCTCTTCTCCATGCTCCAACTTTGAGGTACGGCCTCATCCCAGGAGGCAGCTGATCACTGACTGAAGCCTCTTGGGTTTCACTGATTGAAACCCTGGGCTCAAAAAATCCTTTTTTCTCTTGACGTTGATTGTCTCAGACACTTCGTCACAGTGGGAGAAATCTGACTATTGCAAACTCAAACTCCTTCAGGGGTTTCCTCGAAATCTCATAACGCAGTTCACATCCCTTGGCCTAGCTTTTCAGGGTCCTTAGAACTGAGCCACCAGCTCCCCTGACACCCTCATCTTCCTCACGGCGGGGTGCAAGCCTGCATCTCCAGGCCACCATCAGAACAATTGCACCTCCTGGAAGGACCACTCACTCTCTCCCCTCCCAGGTCCTCCAATGCTAGGTCTGAGCCACCTCCTCCAGGAAGGCCGTTCTGCTCCCTCTGGCCGGTCCCCCCTCCCTGGGTCTAGGGGCCATGTTCCCAGGCCAGGACAGGGACTCACTCCTGACAGTTGCTGTTGAAGCTGAAGACACACTTCTGCAGACTGTCCAGCGTCATGAGGCTGATGTGTTCAAACATGTCCAGGCGGGCGCTTCCCTTGGAGGCTAGGCGCTGCCACTTGGCCTGGCCAGAGAGGGGGACAGGAATGGGCTGGGCCTTGGCACTTTGAGCCGCTTCCCAACCCCAGTCACCAAAAAGGACCCCCCCCCCCGAAGCAGCCCCTGATTTGACCTGATTTGCTGTGTGCCATACTAAGAGAGAACCGGTACCCCACCATCCACAGATCGCTCCTTTAACTGGGCGGACTTGAACAAGCTCCCTGATATGTCAGGCCTTCAGGGTCGCCCTTACTGGGCAGCACGACCCTCCTCTTCGCACGCTTGTGAAAGCAAAAGCAGACAGCGGATAATTACAGAATCGGCATGTGAGATGTGGATATATCCCCAGTTTCTGGTCATGTGGCTCAGTCAGGAAAGTGCTTGCCACTCTAGCTTAAGGATCTGAGTTCAATTCCTAGAACCCATGTTAAAAAAAAAAAAAAAAAAAAAAAAAAAAAAAAAAAAAAAAAAAGGTGGTCGCAGTGGCGTGCATCTGCAATCCTAGCCCCAGAGACGTGGAGACAGGAGGGTCGCTGGGGCTCAACAGCTAGCCGGCTTGGCCAAAGTGGTGAGCTCCAGGCAATGAAAGACCCTGGGTCAAAAAAGCAAGGTGGGTGGCAACTAAGGAAGGGTACCCAAGGTTGACCTCTGACCTACACACACGCGCGCGCGCGCGCGCGCGCGCACACACACACACACACACACACGTTGGCAGCAGTGCATCCCAGTCCAGGATCAGCACATGACTACCTATCCAACGGGTTTCCTCAGGGCAAGTCACCCATGGAAATGGACTCTCACTTGGCAAGGACCAGTGGTCCACAGGACAGCATAGGAATTTGCAAAACTCATGCAGCTTGCAGGCTCTTTTCTCTCTCATTATATTGGTGATTCTTTGGGTGGTTTTTAGTTTTACTTTGTCAGTCACACATGCAACAGCTGTAATTTTCCCTGGAAATTCTGCTCTTTTTCAACTATTTCCCAAGATTCAGCAGGGGGTTAATGCTTCTTAAATCTTTTATCTGGAATTGCTAATTACAACTCCCAATCCTGGGGACTTTTCTGACTCAATGGAGACAGTTAGGTACATATGAGAACACAACACTTGGAACATTAACCATGTCTCACAGTTCGGGAAAGGAGAGCAGAGCATGCGTACACAGACTAGGGAGAAAGCCTCGGGAATACACATGGTGCCAACTGTTGACAGTAAGTTCCCTGGACACCAAGCATAGAATCATTGGTAGGATCTGGTGTGCTCTAAGAGGGAAAAATACACTGGAAAATGTGGGATGGATGGACCTATCCTTCCCATACATAGGAGCTTATATTGGTGGAAGAAGTATGGCACAGCGGCATGGGACAAGGGTGCTTTTTCAAGGTCTGCCTTTTACAGAGAGATTGAGACATGGGACCCTCTTGTAGTAGAGGGAACTGTATAAAAATACATCTTGAAAGGATTGTCTGTGTTTGAATATTGTTTCCCTTACAGCATTGCACCCAGGTCTATTACTTTCTAACTTTGTAACCACAAGTAGCTGCCAGCTGACGTAAGTGCTGTGAGAGCAGGATGTGTCTGACTCGAAATTCAGTTAAGGCTGCAAAATGCTGAACTCTGTGTATAGAATAAAGCTATGTAGGGGGTGGGAAGGTGTATTTGGGGAAGCATAAAGGGGAACAATGGGGGCTTTCATAATGATCACTATGTATTCCTTAAATTATGATGCATTTCTTCAAATTAAAAAATGGGAACTGATCATAAAGCTGGGCATGTAACCATGGTAAGATAAACTCTAAGTATAAATAAAGATGGCCTGAGCTATTTGTGGCCACTTGAGTGCAATCCACTTGGTGGTGAGAAGTTTTCTTTGCACCAGCGCCCCTTCCCTGCCTCAGGACCTGAACCTGAGCCGAGGCTGGACCCCGGCACACACAGGTGTACATGCACATATACACAGGTGTACACACACACACACACACACACACACACACACACACACACACTGTCCCTGTTCATGAGAATCCTTTCTAGGAACATCAATAATTCACTGTCCTATTGTTTCTCACCCGGGCCATTTCTCAGATGTCTCTGCAAAGGGCAGCTCAGAGGGCAGCAGTGACCCCAGGCTTCCTCGTTTCCTATCACAGAAGATCCCAGCCTGGCACGACCATCATGCCTTTAATTCCAGCATGCAAGAGGAAGAGGCAGGACCCCCAGTACAGCTGGCTAGAGAGACTAGCTGTATCCATGAGCTCAGGGTTTGATTGAGAGACCCTGCCTTGATGAGTCAGGCTGAGAGAGATGGATGAAGATTTCCAACATCAAGCTTGGGCCTTCATATGCACACACATGTGAATATACAAACCCTCTGTGATGATTAATGTTGATTGCCAACCTCACAAGATCTGGAGTTACCTAGGAGACAAGCTTCCGGGCATTCTTGTGAGGGATTATCTGTGTTAGGTTACCCTCTGTGCGTGCCTGGAAGGGGTTATCTGATGTGTTGGCTAGTTTTGACTGTCCACTTGACCCAGTTAGAATCACCTGGGAAGAGAGTCACTCCATGAGGTGTTTTCTAGACCAGGTTAGCCTGTGGACATGTGTCTGGGGGATTATCTCGACTGTTAATTGTTTCAGGAAAACCCATCCCACTGTGAGTGGCACCATCCCCTAGACAGAGGTTCCTGGACTGAACAGAGAGGAGAAAACTGGCTGTGGGTGAGCAGGGATCCTTGCGTTTCTTCTCTCTGCTCTTGACCATGGCCATGACACTGTCAGCGATTGGACTTGAGCCAAACAAACTTTTTCTCCCCTCGGTCTTTTTTTTTTTTTTTTGGGGGGGGGGGGTCTGGGAATTCTATCACAGCAGCAGAAGAGAAACTAGAAAGCTGAGGTTAACTGAAGGGCAATGGTCCGTCCTAAAAGCAGGTAGGCCAGCGGCGTCCTTGGCTGTACAAAAAGGAGAAAGTGAGCTGAGCGCCAGCACTCATCCGTCTTTGCTTCCTGACTGCGAATGCAATGGGATTAGCCGCCGCATGCCTCTGCCACTGTGACTCCCCCAAATGATGGAGCATGAAGCAAAGCGACTTCCTCCCTTAAGTTGCTTCTGTCTGGGTATTTTATCACCGCCTCCATCTGAGCAGGGACTGGAGACCAGACCTGTCTACAGCCCTTTGTCCCCCAGGCTCCAGCTGGGGACCTGGGTTCCAGGGACTCACATGCATGATGTTGGTGCTGGCGTTGAAAATCTTCACATATGGCTTCAGGATGTTGAAATGGAAGGCGGGTGTCAGCATGCGCCGGTGGCGGCTCCACTTGTCACCAGCGCTCATCAAGAGGCTATCTCCTAAAAAAGCAGCAAGGCAGCAGGCAAAGAGAGCTCCCCCGGCCCCCCGGCCCCCCGGCCCCCTGGCTCCCCGGCCCCTGAGGGTGTTCCCAGCCCCTCACCTGTTGGTACTCACCCAGCCAGGGCTTCAGAAAACTGTAGAAGACTGTGTCCTTGGGAGCAACTGAAGCTGGTGTGAACAAGGACCATCAGGAGCCATGGCGGGAGGGAGGGGCCCTTAGCCTGGGATCTGCACACTCCCCTCCAAGTCCACATGGTAGGGTTGGGGGCAGGGGCAGAGGGTGCAGGGAGGACTCAGCCTGACATGACACACATACTTCAGCACACCTTCACACAGCTACTACATGGCTGAACATGTTCCCCTGCCAAGCACAGCATCACATTCTGCAGACCTTTATAGAGACCCACTGCTCCTATCTGCTCCAGCATGTGCTGACATCGCCTGGCATAGTCATGTGACACACACAGACACACATAGGCTAACGTGACTGAAGTACACGTGACCTGCCCTGACTGTGACACAGATGGTCAAGCACACCTCAGCACGTCCCACTGACAGGCCCCGGATGAGATTTGAAAGTCCATTTCTGGGCCAGGCATGAGGGAGCACGCCTTTAGTTCCAGCGTTCTGGAGAGAGAGGGGCAGGTGGAACTCTGTGAGTTCCAGGCCAGCCTCGTCTGCATAGTGAATTCCAGGCTAGCCAGAGCTACACAATGAAAATACAATAAAATATAATGTTTAGGGAAATAGAGTTTTAGAGGGGAAAAGTTCATTTTGGGAGCAGCAAGATGGCCCAGTAGGCAAAGGTGCTTGCCACTCAGCCTGATGACCTGAGTTCGATTCCTGGGACGAAGAGAAATGACTTCCCAAGTTGTTCTCTGACCTCCAACCTTGCTCTGTAGTACACACACATGCACACATAAATAAATGTAAAAATAACACTAAAGTTAACTTCCCTGATGTAACCTACACAGGCATCAACATTACTCAGATTTTTCTCAAAAGTTCTATCTCTGGGCTGGAGAGATGGCTCAGAGGTTAAGAGTACAGGCTGCTCTTCCAGAGGTCCTGAGTTCAATTCCCAGCAACCACATGGTGGCTCACAACCATCTATAATGAGATCTGATGCCCTCTTCTGGCATGTGGGCATACATGCAGACAGAACACTGTATACTTAATAAATAAATAAATAAATAAATTTAAAAACAAAACTGCTTTAAAAAAAAAGTTCTGTCTCAATTCTATCTCTGAAAGCCCCTGGTCCCAGACTTCAGACACTCCAAGCAAGACATAGACACAGTCAGGAGAAAAAGACAGTTTCTAACAACACCTCAGAGGAGAGCCAGTCAGAAGCCAACATGTCCCAATTGTCTGTGGCCCCAGAGAAAACCATTGTCATATAAACCCGGGTGGGAACCAGGCGCAGCCAGAGAACAGCACACACCAGAAAGATAGAAGCCTGCCAGGCGTTGGTGGCGCACACCTTTAATCCCAGCACTTGGGAGGCAGAGGCAGGTGAATCTCTGTGAGTTCAAGGCCAGCCTGGTCTACAAAGCAAGTTCCAGGAAAGGCACAAAGCTACACAGAGAAACCCTGTCTCGAAAAACCAAAAAAAAAAAAAAAAAAAAAAAAGAAAGAAAGAAAGATAGATAGAAGCATCTGAAAGATACCACATGGAATGCTCTAGACAGGAGCCAAATGACCACAGGTAAGTCAGGTGAGTCCAAATGAGACAAGGGCAGGGGCATTTCTACCACGGCCCTTCCTGGCCACACTGAGGTCACCTGAGACTCATGAGTGTGCAAGCTGGGACCAGCATGGTGTCTACCTGGAGCCAAGAGCACAGGCTTGATGAAGGCAGGGTGGAATATGCGGATGACGGGTTGCCATGGCCCCACCCACCAGCAGCACACATCCCTGAAGGTCCGCACCAGGCTCTGGACGTACAGGAGCCCTTCCTCCGAGCTCTGGATCTATAGAAGAAAAGGACCCACCTGGTGTTTGCTTCTCTGGGTTGCCAGAGATAACAAGTAGGGTAGGGAGCCACGGGGAGTCCCGGGGATTCCATCCAGGACTTCATCCACACTGCTGAGCCTTGCCCCGGTCCCCCATCATGAGTCTTGGGACAGAAGATGTATCCTCACTTCGGATCCTAAACACTGTATTTTATTTTATTTTATTTTATTTTATTTTATTTTATTTTATTTTGCCTTGTGTGCATGCTTGTGTGTGTGCACATGTGTGCACATGATCATGTGTGTGTGAGTATGGAGGCCAGAGGTCAACCTCAGGTATCATCTAATTTGTTTTATTTTTTTTTTAATTTTTTGTTACTTTCTATTTATTTGTGGGACATCAAGTCCTATGGTGTACATTGTAGCGGTCAGAGGATAACTTGCAGGAGTTGGTTCTCTCCTTCCACCGTGTGGATCCCTGGAATTGAACTCAGATCGCCAGGCTTGGCAGCAATCACCTTTACCTGATGCGTCATCTCACCAGCCCCAACTTTGTTTTCTTGAGACAGAATCTCTCACTGGCCTGAGACTCACCAACTGGGCTAGGCTGGTGAGCCCGTGAGCTCCGGGGACCCAGCTGTCTGCACCTCCCCAGTGCTGGGGTCACGCTTGTGCACCAAGCACCTCACTGACTGCGCCATCCCCCCAGCACCCTGAATACCAGATTATCCCGGGTTCTCCTCCATCCTGTCTTCCAGATGGAAACAGTTGTATACCTCACCGTTTTCCACATAGCAAGCAGCATGGCTGAGACCTGAGCCTGGGACTGTGGATCCCCAGAGTCACAGAGACTTAGTGCAGACTTGGCCTTGTGAAGGCTGTTTATGGGAACTCCAGAGGGCAGTGAGCGACTTGGACCTGAATCTCTAAGACTCATCAGTACAGGCGTGCCTGCGGGGCGTCATCTTGATTGTTAATTGATGTAGAAGGACTCAGTCTTTGGGGTGCATCACTATTTCATGGCCTGATCCTGTTCTAGTTTTAATGTTACTGTGATAAAAAAAAAAAAAAAAAAAAAAAAAAAAAAAAAAAAAAAAACACCCTGACCAAAGGCAACTCTGACTTATACTTCCAGGTCACAGTCCACCAATGAGGGAAGTCGAGGCAGGAACTCAAGCAGGAACCTGGAGGCAGGAACTATGGAGGAACACTGCCCGCTGGCTCACTCTGGTTTCCTCACCAGCTTGTATTTATCTGTCTTTCTTAGCCTGCTTGGGTCCACCTGTGTAGGGATGGTGCCGCCCTCAGTGGTCTGGGCTCTTCTGCATCAATTAACAGTCAGAAAATACCACCACAGACATCAGACATGTCTTCTGTTCCCCTGAGGCTCTTGAGCTCTGCTTTTCTTTCTGGAGCAAATGCTGTGGGATGGTCTGTATGTCAAATTGCTCTGACTGGTCAATAAATAAAACACTGATTGGCCAGTGGCCAGGCAGGAAGTATGGGCGGGACTAACAGAGAGGAGAACTGAGAGAACAGGAAGGCGGAAAGAGTCACTGCCAGCCGCCACCATGACAAGCACCATGTGAAGATGCGGGTAAGCCACAAGCCACGTGGCAAGGTATAGATTTATGGAAATGGATTAATTTAAGCTGTAAGAACAGTTAGCAAGAAGCCTGCCACGGCCATACAGTTTGTAAGCAAT